AATGTCAGTGGCGTTCGCGCCGAATTCTTCACGGCTTCGATTTTTTTTCTCTAAAACCTAACATGCTTTCTTTTCAGTGCCATTTGTGCGTTTGAAGTCGGCCATCGAAGAGGGGAAAAGTTACGATTTAGACGTCATATTTGTCAATTAAAAAATATTTTTTAGTTTTGCTGAAACAGCGTTGCAAATTACAAATTTTAGCTTAGCAGGCGTTATTTTTACTGAAGCTTTACGGATATTTTTTATTAACATTTCAAAAGCTCCGTTTGGCAATTTCGTTGAAATTTGCAGTGGCTGTAAACTGTGATCAGACGTTCATTTATGAGCAACTAGATGATAACTGAGAATTCCAGTGGTGTCCCGAGGACCCCCTAACTATTACTTTTGAAAATAAACAATAGATCGCTGGCTACATAATAAGCGGGTTTGTATTGTTTTGTTTTTCAATATTACCGTGTGGTTGAGCGATATATATATAAGAGAAATATTTTGCTAGAAGGAAAAGCAGAAACACAAAGAAATGAAAATCATTTTTTCCTATATGGAGATAGGGTTTTGGTTAGTTTCGATTCTAAAGTCGGGAGAGTGATTATTTTGCGTACAAAACTTTATCTGACGAAGTATCTTCGTATCTTCAACTAGAAAACTGTTTAAAATTGGCCATTTCTTAATTATTTTTTTAAATTTTAGTTAATTTACGATGTGTATGAAACATCTCGACTTAGGATGGCAGTATTTTTGGTAGTTTTATCACTCTATAATTGACAATTTTGTTGTTTCGGCTCTATATTTATAAAAAAAAATTATCGACATCCGCCCCACGAGAAGCGAGCGACCCCCTAATCAACGATCGCGCCCCTTTATCTACGTTCGTTTCGCGTGTTCCTTTCCAAATATAAAGGAGGTTCGTTTGTTTTCGATACGCGAGGTCCATACGTGTGCACGTGCGATATACTCACACACGCTCACACAAATCACTACGTAGCAGTGACGGCGGGGAATTTTCTACGTGTCATGCGATTTCCACATTTGTTTTGCATGGCGGGGCGGCGGGGGAAGGTGCCGTTTTTTTTTTCATTAACTTTGATTGTGGTAGATTGGTTTCCACCGGTGACCCGGATATTTTCGTGTACGATAACGCAAAAGTTACCCCGTTTTAAAAACAACGTCCTTTAATTTACCAACTGTCGTGTGGTTACGTCAAAGTTCTGAAATATGTAAATGCGTAAACGATTGCGTAAAATCTTGTAGAAAAGAAATCAAAAACTATGAGAGATCCTTGGGTGATCACTAAATTAACTTTCTTGGAAAAACAATTGTTAGATTGCGTTGTCTTAAAAACACCCCTAAACCTAGCAATGCGCTGGATGTAACTCAAGGTTACACTCTTTAAATCGGTTCTGGCGGCATTTTATACACATTAAAGTGAATGCGTACCAATAAAGTATTGCTTTACCGAAATGTAGCGAGTTGATTTTTGTTTTATTTTATTTAGATACAGACAGACAGATTTTGAATATTTTAATACAATTTTATAAAACTTGTGACTATTTTTTTTTCAATTTATCCGCAGAAAAACTAGTATGCTCTGGATAGCATGTTTACTGAGGTGTCCATTGCATTGAAATGAGTAAGTTTCGTTTGAGATGTAACATGTACGAATAAGATTACTGCATAATTTATAATTTAATAACAAAAGCACTCGTGAGGAACTGATGACTTGGGTACAACTGATCTTAAATAGATAACTACTAACAGCACTTTATAATAATTTTTAGTTGCCAAAAAATGTATATACGAGGTTAGCGCCAAAATTTCCCGGCCTGACATAGATGCAGCTCCAGTATCACGATAAAACTGTGTCTTCTTTTAAATATATATCTTAATAGTTTTTTATTGACAGTACTTTAAACAAGACGTGTCTGAAAAAATGTCGCAAATAACGCAAATTGGGTATAGAGCAGTCATAATGTTTTTGACAAAAAAAGGGTTAGCACCTAAAATTATTAAAGAAAATTTATATGGTGTGTACGGCCAAAGTTCTCCTTCGTATTCTGTAGTGAAAGAATGGGCAAAACGTTTTCGAATGGGACAGGAGTCCCTTGAAGATGATTCAAGAACTGGTCGACCAGTGGAGGTCATAACGGAAGATATTGTTGCGATTGTGGAAGAGGTGGTATTGAGTTATCGACGTCTAAAAGTCAAGGAAATCTCAGAAATTAATACACACACAAGTGTTCGTCGAATACTGCATGATCATTTACGTATGCATAAGGTTAGTGCAAGAAAGCTTTCGGCTATTCAAAAACAACGCCTTGTCGAGTGTGCACCGTCTTTTTTGGAACTCTGTGGGTTGGAACCGAAGCCTGTGATAGAAACTATTGTGAGGGGAGATGAAACTATGGTTGTTTATTATGACCCTCTATCGAAAGAATCATGGAGTGGCGTCGTAAGGGTGAAGCACCTCCAAGAAAATTCAACAAAAAAGGTGATGGCCACGATCTTTTGGGAATGTGAAGGAATTCTTTTGATAGATTTTAAAGAAACTAATATCACCCACAATGGTAAATATTATGCAACATTATTACATAAATTGCGAGACTGCATACGTGTAAAACGTCGAGGAAAACTGACCAGAGGCGTGCGTCTTTGTCGATACTGCTGGTGTTGCACAAGCTGCCATTTTAGAGTGTGGGTTCCAACAGATAGGTCATCCTCCCTATAGTTCAGATTTGGCCTCCAGCGACGTATTAAAGTATATTTGAAAAAGGACTTACCTGGACCGCGGTTTAACGACGAAGCTGAGTCAAAAGAGATTGACTGCTTTAGCTCATTTTGCTGACAAACCCAAAGAATATTTTTTGAGTTGTTAATAAATAGATGTAATAAGTGTATTGAAGTTAAGGGGGATTATATTGAAAAATAATAAAAAATTGTTACTCTACTTTGCTTCTTTCATATTCAGGCCGGGAATTTTTGGCGCTGTCCTCGTATGTATATTTCGTATTACACTTGCGATTAAAGAGTTGTAAGTAACATTCAATAAAAATGGTTAAGTCAACTACCCTCTTATTAACGAAACTTGGGCATATGTTTCATTCATTCGTGCAATATTTTTGGTTCTAATGTCACAATATAACGTTTATGCTTATATGGAAAGTGACGTTGAGCCTTGCGTTAGATATCACTAGTAACTGGCGTAATTTGCACTGTTCTACAGTAACTGTAAAACGCAAAAATTTCGGACACGTCGGTTCGAAACGTCACGTTTAGATTATCTTAGACCTTTAGTGACATTGACAAGGTTGTTTCGGAAAACTTCTCTCAGGAAATGGTAACAAAGTATTTCACTGCGGTCGTGAAATTTTGAGTTGTAAGTCGCAAAAACATACGATATTTTAAAATTTTGAGTTATGAGTGGAAATTTTTATTTTAAAATATCGAGTTGTTATTTATCCACATAAAAAAAAATGAAGTTATGAGTCGAAATGTTATAACAAAATGCTCCTCCGGTGTGTCAAAATTTTATCCTAAACTAATAATAACTCAATTTATCCCATATTTGCTCACGTGGCGTGTGTTATCACGAAAGTTGACAGAAATAATTGTTTTTTTGTTTTATATTACTTTCAGTCTTAAGCAACTAATTATTGAGTTAATTTCGATAATGTATACTACATTTTTTATCATCATTTTTTCTAGTTTTAGTTTAATAAAAAAAGGCTATATGAGAAATGTTAGTGAAAAACTTATCAGTCAGAATCAGTTAGAATCGATCATCTCCCAAACAAATTGAAACTTACATTTCCTAAGAAGTCCTAAAAAAACGTGACAATTTAAAATTTTGAGTTATGAGTCGAAATTTTAGCACAAAATTTCAAACCCATGCGTGTCCGAATTTTAGAATTATCACGAAACGGCAGAGAAATAATAAAGATTTTTTTATATTGCCTTGACGCTTAAGAAACTAATGATTGAGTTAATTTCAATACTGCATACTACATCTTTGATCAATGTTTTCCCTAGTTCTAGTTTAGTGAAAAAAGGGTATATAATTACATAATGCACGCTTAGTGACCGACTTTTTTGAAACGTTCTTATTAAAAATTGAAAAACTATCCATGCAACATTTATTAAAATCATTTTGCGAAAAAATCGAAACTAACCAAACTCTGGATACACGCTACTGGTATTTTCCGTAAAATTTTAAGTTATAAGTCGTAAAAAAATGCGACATTTTAAAATTTTGAGTTACGAGTCGAATTTTTTATTTTAAAATGTCGAGTTAAATTTCGACTTGTAATTCATACAAAATTTTGAGTTATGAGTGGAAATCTTACCACAAAATAATAACTGAATTTGTCAAACCAGGAAAGACATAATAGGTTTTTTTTTCATATTATCTTTAATTTTTAAAATTTAAAATGGAAGGGTACATAATTACATAATGTAAGCGTCGTGGCCTACTTTTTTTAAGGTATGGAAGTTGAAAATATGAATATATGAATTTAAACATTTTTGACATGACATTTTAAAATTTTGAGTTATGAGTTGAAATTTTTATTTTAAAATGTCGAGTTAAATTTCGACTTGTAACTCACAAGGTTTTGAGTTGCGGGTCGAAATTTTACCAGAAAATAAAAACTGAATTTGTCAAACCGGGAAAGACATAATAGGTTTTTTTCACAATATCTTTAATTGTTAAAATTTAAAATAGAATTTCAAGTTTTTAGTTTAATGAATAAAAGGGTGCATAATGCTACATAATGTAAGCTTCGTAGCCCACTTTTTTAAAAGTGTCGAACTTGAAAATACGAATATTTATGGTTTCGTTCTTATTAATAACTCTAACCGATTACACATCCAGTTCCAGTAGATAAATCAACTTTCTTTGCGCTCATCGGTGCACTTTTTATTGTCGATCACTTTGCACTTTCAAACCGTCACCGGAGCCCCAAATTTGGCGCCCGAAAAAAACCGCCCCCCACACCGACACTTACCCCAGCGTCCCCCGCGGGCCGGCGGGACGTCGGCCGTCGGGTCTTCAAAAATAAATACGTACAGGGCGATCGAAAAAACGGGAAAAACACGACACGTTGCGACCCTTGGCGCGCGCGACGTTGAGCGGAAAAATATCCCGCGACGGGAGGCACGTGTCGCTCGACCAATGGCGTCGCGACGCCGGTTTGTTATTGTTGCAAAGGGTCGCATCGTGCGTGTGTGTGCGTTGCTGCAGCACCACGTCACCCACTAAAACACCAAAAGAGAGAGCGGAACGAAGAATAAGCCCCGGAGGGCGCATATTCCGCACGAGTTTATTTAGACGCACACGAGACACACAGATACACACATATACGTGCACAACACACACACGCGAAAGGGGAGGGGGGTGGCGGCGTGTGTGTGTGTGTGTGTGTGTGGTGGACGCGCACCTTTGCCTGGAACCACGACGGCGTCGCGACGACGACGACGAGGGACGTTTTCTTTGAGGGGTCGTAAGTCCGACTGTGTTCAAAAATATGCCGACTAGCAATGGACGCATAATTCCAGTTTCGCCCGTTAATGAATCCGATTAGACAAAGCCTCGTGAACGGCCAAGACGCAAGCGCCTTCCCCTCTCCTAAGATCGCCCCCCACCGCCGCCTCCGCCGCCGCCGCCGCCGTCTTTACTCTTACTGTTTTACCCTTAGATATAAATTAAGGGGCGGCGTGTATTTAGAATCACACACGGTCCCGCTACCCTCTCTCTCGACTCGTCAACCACTAATTACTCGAAACGAGGACGGAGCGAGGGTGACGTCGTCTCCGTCGCACCGCTTTGCATAAATGCACTAAGAAATCGTCCGCGTGGCGGTGCTCCCCCCGCCGCCGCGGCTCTTTCTTTTTACGAGACGCCCTTCTTTTTCGCCCTTCGTCGTACACTCTTTCCTTTTTCTTATTTCGCTAAACAAAACTCGCAACCCCTTCCCGCCGCCGACGCCCGCCGTCGCCCCCCGGACGCACGCTCCCCCGGCCCCCGTCTTCTTAACGAACGCGCGCTTAAATCACAACTTTATATTTTCAATACCGGTTTTTTTCTGCTTTTCCTATTTTAGGGAAATTGTTTTGCCAAGTTTTTATCTGTGGGGGCGGCACGCCGAGGGTCGGAAGTCGCCTAAACACAATTAAAAAAAAGATTATGTAGCTTTTTTACCGATTAAACTAGAACTATGAAAAACATCTCAACTCAACTCAAGATTTTAAAAATTTTTGATCTTGGCAAATTTTAAACTCATAACTCAAAATTTGAAAATTCTTTTTTGGTAAATATCAATAAATTAAGTTGTCATTTTAAGCTTAAATGTCGGCTCATAACTAAAAATTTTAAAATTTCGTATTATAAATATAAATTTTAAAATTTCTTGATAACACATACCAGTTTTGCAAATATCGGTAAATTTTAGGGTAAAACTTTAGACCCATAACTCAAAATTTTAAAATTTGGTGTTATAAATCTAAACGTTAAAATTTCTGTTTCTGTTTTCTCATTTTGGGCTTAAATGTCTACTCGACTCATAACTTAAAAATTTCGTTTTTATAAGTCTAAATTTTAAAATTTCTTGATAAAACACCCCAGTTTGGCAAATATCGTTAAATTAAGTTAATATTTTCGGGTGAAAATTTAGACTCATAACTCAAAATTTTGAAATGCCATGTTAAAAGCCTAAATTTTAAAATTTCCTGATATCCTGTGGAGTATCAAATATCAGTAAATGAACTGCGAAAAAAAGTTCTCGACACGTTATTCTGAGTTATTTCTTTTCGAAGTGACAGTTTTTGAGTTTTTTAAATATTTCTTTATTCCATTGTTTAATTTGAAATAAAAATGTTCCAATTTCTGTTCAGGATGCAAAAAGCAAAAAAAAAATGCTGTAAATTTTGCGACTGTAAATGTGCAAGTAAATCGCCCTACAATAATTGCAAATTTATATGACGCAATTTATATTTAAAATAAGGGTTTTTCAGTCAAATCTGCCAATGTAAATTTTGTTTAACGTTGTTTCGAATTAAAATGGATTTATAACTAAAGGCATGGAACGTTCAGAAAAGGCAGTTTAATATTCGAAAAGTATTATTCTTCAATACCTATTGAAGAAAAGTCTTCTTTATTTTCGAAAGGTGGTCAATTGTTAAACCAAGAGATTTGTGATAGTTTTCATATTTAATATCCGATATGTGATACTTAAAAAAGCAGAATGTGCGGCTCATAATTGTAGGGGTCGCATATACATATATTCTGAATCTGATTTTTTTTCGAGGTGATAGTTTTTGAGTTTTTTATAATGTTTCTATATAATTCTGTACAAAAATGTTACAATTTCTGTTCAGGATGCAAAAAGCAAAACATAAAATAAAATAATTGCAAATTTATAAGTCGCAATTTATATTTAAAATATGGGTTTCTCCGACAAATCTGCCGGTGTAAACTTATAACTAAAGGCATGGAATGTTCGGAAAAGGCAGTTAATTATTCGGTAACTATATTCGGTAAATGTCCTTTATTTTCGGGAGGTGGTGAATTGTTAAACCAATGAATTTCTGATATTTTTCATATTTAATATACGATATGTTCCAGTGACACTTAAAAAAGCAGAATTAGTAAACTAAAGAAATTAATCAAAACTACCTAATTTCAATAACAATTGAATATATTGCCAGAGATATTTTTCAATATTTCACGAATGTAACTTTTTCGATACAAGATGTTTCGGATTTGGTGAACAAGCAAAATATGCTTCTATGGATCTTAGGTTGTCTCGTTTCCATATCACGTGGAAGATGACCCGAGTACATTTAAAAAAATAATCGCTCACTCACTTTTCACATATACGGAACCAGATCGATATATTATCGATAAGGATCACTAACCGAAACCCAACTGATCGATATATGTCATCTGTGAAAGCTACCGTTTTCCGGGCTATTACTCCGGGAGAGATGTCGCGTGCAATAACAATAACCGAGACGCGACACCTTTTACACGACTAAAAGATCTGCGAAAAATCCGAAACGATTTATACCGTCGTTGACTTGTCAAACTCGAAAAGGTCCTAACGGTAAAAGGTCTAATTATTTCGGACCCTGGAAAAAAGTCTCGTCGGCCTCCGGCCGGTTGACGTCGCGCCGCGGACTTTTTTCCACGCGTTTTTCGAAAATTAACCGCCTCGTTCGTCGACAACGTTTTTGCGTACGTGTCGTCGATCGATTCGTTAATAGATCGGATGCAAATCTCTATCGATTCGTTAAAAACAAAAGCCGCGGGTGGAAAAAACGCCACTTCAAACGGCACCGGCGTAAATTGAAAATGCAAATGGCGCGGGGTGGTGGTCCGAAATTCACGATCTTCGCCGGAACGAATTTAGAAGACGCGAAAAAGCGTTCACCAAGTTATTATTATAGGTGATACTTAATTAGGGAGGCGTTAAACGCCGCGCATTGACGCGTCGCATCGTACTACTTTTCAATTAAGTTTTTTCTAGACTCGGTGACAAAAAAAAACGATAGTGTCGATAAATTATCGATAAATTAGAAAACTTTTTTACTTATACATCATATACTGATTGCTTACAGCGGTTTAGTCAAAGCAATGCTTAATTACGGCATTTTAAGTTAAGGTGGGGTTTAGTGTCACCAACCAATCAATATTCTACGAAAACGTACTAAACACAATACTTACAATACAGAACGATGCAGCTGTACGGAGACTTCGCTTTACATGAAGCAAAATAATATATACTTCCGGAATAAATAAAACTTTTTCCAACCAAGCAACAACTGTTCTTTTAGTATGTAGGTTTTTTCTTTTGTTGTTTGCAATTTTTTCTTCTCTCGTCTTTTCTTTTAAGTAACAACGCCCAAGTTGAAGTGTATGTTTATATTATATACTGACCAGTGAAATTAAGGCACCACTAAATAATAAATAGCTACTAGAGTACATACATTACTAATTTATACAGTTTTTAAGTTTCAACTTTGCTAGAGAACACATCGATTGGGCTGATGAACACTGGAAAGGGTTCTTTGGTGCGATGGCACAACTACAACACAGATACCAGTATAAGAGTTTATCAAAGACCGAATGGTATGACCAATGTAATTTCCAACACACCAGATTACATTTGGTTTTTTATATTATCAATAATATTCTTAAATATTTTGCTTTGGGTGTTTCTAACCCCATAATATATTATTTAAATAAATAAACAAAGACCTCAACACGAATAGTTTATAATGTATATTAGACTAATATCTACATGAATGGGCGTTTTTCTAATCTCTTTTTACTATCAGCTAAGAAATGTAAAAAGAAGTGAAATACATATATTATTTTTATACACCTATAAAAAATTAAAACATTAGGTGAAACGTATCACTTTCATTATAGGTTATCCAGTCGTAATGATGTTTAGAAGTTATGTAGCAAGTACCTATATGTATCAGATATGTTTATTTATTTATTTATTTATTTATTTTATTTGTTTATTTATTTATTTATTACAAAGGTGCCCTAAGATGAAGAACTAACTTCACAATTTACAAGGACACACTAACAATTATACCATTATTTAATTAAAAAAGTAAAACTTATAAGTAAGTACCTACCTATATCTACGATAAGCAGAAGATAAAAAAAAGTAACAATCAAACTTAAAAAACTAAACTAAACTAACTAAAGATTAGTTATGTTTTAGGAAGGACTGAGCTTAACTGCTCGTACTGACCCTTACTTTGGTGAGAATTTTTTGTTTCAACAAGATGATGTTTGACCGCATGTTGCTCAGATCGCGTAATGAGAAATTGAAACTATGAAATGGTCAGTACCCAACCAATTCAATTGGGACAGACAACTAACCCACCTTACACTTTGAATTGACTTACTCGAGATATCCTCCAAATTTGGAGTAATTTAGGTCAATAGTCGCTGCCGTGCTTTTATTCAAAACAATTTTCTCTTTTGTTATTACCTTCATTATTACATCTGTTATAGGCATTCGAATTAACAAATTAACTAATTATTGCTAAACTAATACCTGCACACAGATCAGTAGCCTACGTGATATGATATAAATTGTTAATGTTACAACGGTAAAATGAATTTCATTTCAAAATGTCGTAATTTATTTCATTATCGTATATTTCCAGAATGAGTAGAACAGATAGGTCAAGCGGTTAGTGACAAGTACTGGATGTTTTCTGTTTTTGTCAATTAAAATAAAACATA